CATTATTTTAATTGCTCCCTCCCTTGCCTCCTACTCTTGCTTAAAATCAGTCATCTATGAGGTGTTGGGTGAAGCTTTTAAAGCCGCGTCACTTTCTTTGATCAAGGTTGTCCCACTATATATCGTTTTAAAATATGACTCCTTTATCCTACACAGTAACTAGTGTCTACCCCTGCCTACTTCTGTATGATTACTTTCCCTGAACCCCAACCCAAGCATAACTACTAATCTCCAGAAACAGTGACCCTCTTGTTACACCAAGTGACTTCCCACCTCAGGACCTTTGTACTAGCTGTCCCCTTGCCTGGAATGCTTTGCCCCAGGACTTCTCACAGTTGACATGTTCTTGTTTGCTTTAGTGTCAGCTCTTGACCTTAGCAGTCATAAATAGGAAGTGCAAGTCTATTTCAGCAAAGACCCAAGAAAGTGAAAGGATGAGGGGATATGCCATCAGGGCTATGATGGAAGAACATTCCAGAAAGATGGAGCAGCTAGAGTAAAATGCTACACCCCATGTGTTAAAGGGATGGCAGAGCAGTGGGTGTGGCTAGAAAGGGCAAACAGTAGAAGTTGGTGGAGAGAATAGAGGTGGAAAAGAAGACATTTGTGTGGGAGACTCACAGGCTGGTGGTGTTTACTACACTGAATGTCCCAAGGCTTCAAGCATTCCAGTAAGCACCTGGGAAAGGTGGCATATTATGGGTGTCCCCACTCTGCTGGCTTGCTGGTGGGTGGTGGGGTCTGGCTGGAGGAGCTGCTCACAGGAGGTGGAAGTGGAAGGGCGGTTCTCCCTCCCTGGCTCCTTCTTTGACTCTGCTTCCAGGAGTACATTGAGTAAGTAGCTTTTCTTCTGCCATGCTGTCCTCTTGCCTCAGTACCAGCTGATTATGGACTGAAACTGGAATCAAAACAAACCTCCTCCTTGAAGTTGTGGGTGTTGGAAATTGCGTGCTAGTGATGAGAAGGGGACTGAGCCACAGGTAATTGCTGGAATTTGGCCTTTCAGAGGGAAAAGACATTGGAGCCCTGAAAGCGACTTGATCAGACCTGGTATTTTGTAATAGGTTTCTGGCTTCAGTGTTGAAAATACACTGGGAAAGAATGCCAGGCAACAGCAGGTACAGAGAGCCCTGGTGGGAAGGTACTGGATAATCCTGATAGAGATGGTAGTGGCTAAGACATGGTGGGGATGGTGGTTATGAAGAGGGCCATTGGGGTGCATATAAGAGAAAAAGGGGTGGCAGTGATGACCACAGATTTCTGACCTGTGGATCTGTCAGCTTTCAAAATAATGTAAGCCAGGGGCTCCTAGTGGCTACACTGTGCAAAAGACATGCTAAGGGGAAGCCCACAGGGAAGAGACAGATCCAGGGCCCGAGGGCATGGGATGGGTTCTTGAGGTCCCCATGCCAATAGCTATACCTACCAGTCCATTGGACTTTTCTTTCTCTTTTAAGATTTTTTGTTTTTTTGTTTCTGAGGCAGGGTCTTTCTCTGTAGCCCAAGATGACTTCAGACTTGCCATGATCCTCCTACCTCAGCCTCATGACTTTTCATGGATGTTTATTTGACTTTTCATGGATGGGAACCAATTAATTTACATTTTTAACCCCTGGGGAAATGTGTTGATAGATTCAGGGCATGATGATATTTAGAAATTAGCATTTTCTGAGAAAATATTCTTAGGCAAGGTGCCTTTCAGATTCCAATTGTCTGAACACTTGAGGGTCTTAGAAATTTCTTGTGTGAAGTGGTATTCAACACCCTTAGATCACCTCTGGAAAATCTTACAGTCCTTCCTCCTCAGGAAGGGTTAGAACAAAGTTGCTCAAAAGTAAAAAGAGATCTATACTGAATAGATAGGATAGGAATAGGATAGCATGGTATTTATAACTTGTTAAAATTCATCAGCACATCTGGGTGTGGTATTCAGCTATAATTCCAGCTACCTTGGAAGGTAAAGGAGGAAAATCACAAGTTCTAGGCCAGGCTGGGAAACTTAGTGAGATCTTGTCTTAAAAAGAGAAAAGGTCTGGAGGTGTGGCTCAGTGTTCCTTGGGTTCAATCCATGGTATAAAATAAAAACAAAACACAACCAAAATTTGAGGGTAAATTGAGTGTTTAAAAATTCCCATCACCTTGGGCATAGTGGTGCACATCTGTAACACCAGCACTGGGAAGCTGAGGCAAGAGGATTGCCATAAATTCAAGGCTACATAATGAGTTCAAGGTCAGCCTGAACTACATAGCAAGACCTTGTCTCAAACAAACAAACAAACAAACAAACAAA